CCAGGAATTTTGGCCGATCAGGAAAATATCAGGAAAATCGGAAAAATCGGACGTTCTATCAGGAATTTTTCTCACGCGAATCTCCTCAGCGGAGAAAGTCTTCCTGCTTTTTGGCTACCATGCCAGGAGTCGAAAAAAATCAGGAAAATATCAGGAATTTTCAATATGAAAATATAAGGAATTTTTTATAAAATATCAGGAAAAATCAGGAAAATATCAGGATTTTTCAAAATTAAAAAATACTAGACACCCTGATTAATCAGGAAGACGGCAACGAAACACTTGGTTGTCCTCCGATGGTTTAGCCATGGATATTGTACACGTTGTAACTAGAAGTTAAGAATTGCAAAAAATCGGCATAATGTCTCGATCATTCACAAGTTAGATCGTCGATGGGCGACCGAAGAAGATTTTCTTAAAATTTTAGAGAATGAAAAACAGAAGAAACTCGCAAGTAACGAAGAACGGAAAAGTTAATTTTCTGTAGTCTGTAAATTTATCCAGAAATTCGTAATTTCCCCTTAGGTTGTTAAAAACGGTCAATTTACCTCAAAAGGTGTCTTGAGTTTGTATATTTTCGGTGTTTCTTTTTTCTTTTTTCAATGAGTCTTTCCAGTCAAAGTTCCAAGCAGTGTAGCGCGAATTAGGATTATCTGCAGTTTTCAATTAACTGCGATACGTGTAATTTTAAAGTGCAAATGAGCGAGTTTGCATTGTATAGGAATCGAAAGAACTGTGAAGACTGAGATTGAGTACACTTCGAGAAAAAAGGATATTTATCATGCACATTTTGGCACGACTGGCTCAACCATAATACCCGCGCTCAGTCATTTGAAAATTTTCAATTATTTTCAGAATGGTTGCCGTCCAACTCCTCAGTGTTTTTTCCTCCATTTGCTGAGATCCATCCCTTTAACCAAACAGCAGTATTTTACTGAACGTTAGCACCGAGGGGAGAAATTTCCTCCCAAGAAGAAACTGAATAATAATCGAAAACCAACCGCGTGAGTGAAAAGAGGTTTGTACTTACTTATATATTGAAAAAAAAAAATATAAGAACTTTTTTTTATTTAGCAAAGGCAGGGCCAAAAATACTTTAAATATTTTTCCCTTTGTGAAAGGCCCATCATAAGTATTTTGGACTTGAGAACGTCCAAGGATTAGTAATTATCTGTGTAAATCAGAACCCTCAAGATAGGTAGTAAGTTCCATGAGTGTTTTGAGGTTTTTCTGTTATGTTTTCATTGATCATTAATTTTTCTGTATATCCTAATACTTGTAGCGTTTGTTTTTTTATGAAATCGTATTTTTCACAAAAAATAGTACAAAAGTGGATAAAATAATGAAATAAATAAATGTTTAAGTGAACACAAAAACCTTCAAAAAATAGTGTCACGTCAAGATAACGTAAAAAAGATCTAAATGTTCGCTAGATTTTCTCACGTCTCCTCTTTCTCGCGTTGAATGATATTTGACTCTACTTAGAAAAAAAAGAATCGTAATTTCTATAAATATTAAAACTCTTCTTTTATCGTTCCAACCCGTCCTGCTCTGTATATTCTGAGTCTCTGCATGCCAAAAATATATACTTTCAGTACTCAGCGAAGACCTGCAAGAAAAATCAAAACCCTTACGAGAGATTTTATCGTTACGTCTTTAACGTTTACAGAACGTTCGTATGCTTTTTAAGAGGCTGGTTGGTCGGTTGGTTGGTTGTCGAGCCTCTCTCCGCCCATGCCACCTCAAAGGGTTCCCATTCGAAGAAAGCCCGAAAAAGATGTGTTTTCCACCGAAAAGAAAGTTTCCATCGCGACAAAACCTGTCAACTCGGGGCGAAACAAATAAAAAATTAAAGTAAGATGAAAGCATTACCGTCTGTCCGCGCAAATGATCGCTCAATTCTACGGAAGTTCTCGTCCATCAAAAAATTAGAGCGATAACAGTTCGGAAACTTGAGCAAGTTTTCGTATTAGCCGTGTTAGTCATACGAAAGGAGTAACCGCACTCGAGGGAGAAGTTTTTTCTTCCTTTGTTGCCACCACCCTCATCTTTTAGTCCCTAGCCTCATTTTCCTCTGGAAAATTTCCTCTTGACGTCACCTCTACCGTCGTTGGTACGAGTCAGTATTGTATGAGACCATACGACACTAGTTTCCTAAATCTTGACCTTCTAGAATTTCTCACCAAACACACTGAAAAAAAAATTGCGGGCTATATAGACATATCGTCCGCGTTCCGAGTTCAGAGGCAGAAAGTTCCGGGTGCTGGAGCCGTAGCTTCGACTGCTCCGGGTGCTACGCTCGGAACTTTCGGCCTCTGAGCCCGAAACGCGGACGAAATGTCTATACAGCCCGTAAGTACGGCTTCCACGGCCGGAGTTTTTTTTTCAGTGAACAGGAATGGTGATAGCATGATATCATTCTCTTTGCTGCGATTAATCGGAGTCTGAAAGATTATATATTAAGCTTCGATACTCTCACTCGGCGGGAACGGATTGGGTATTTCCACAAAATTGAATTAATATTCTTGATAACATATCTAAATTTTGTACCAAAATGCATTGAAGCATAAGTCTTGAATTTAAAATAAAGTAAAATAATTTTGTGAATATGGATACGTAAAGCAAACAATTTTACGAGCAACTTTTTATGGATCCCAATGAATGCCTGCAAAATTTTATCTTCGAAGTATTAGGCACCCGAAACTTTCGGTATATGTGCTGAATAGGGAGGCAATTTTTGAAAATTAGCACGAGTAATGTTTTTTTTATTTTATTTTTTTACTGAATTGAAAGATCATTATCGAAGAAGACGAGGCGTAATCGAATATGTTAAGAATAGTCGTGGAATGATATGCCCAGTTGATATGCGAAAGAATAGTCAAGAAATCGTGGAACAGCCCCTACCTTTCGATTTAAAAAAATAAGTGTTTAACCGCGGTCTTGTATCAATGACATTTTCGCAGTCTATTGAATGTCCAAAATCAGGTAAAAAATCAGGATTTTCGCCCACCTGGCAACTATGTCGCCCGACACTCGTCAGTTTTCACGCCAGTCTCAATTCCACTTCTCTAGCTGTGTCATCATTTCTCACGGATAATTTCCAAACTTTCCCTCCGCCCTTCTCATTCTTGCTCAGTCCCTGTTCCCTTTTTCTTTCTCGTTTTACCTCCATTCTCTTTATTTCATAAGTTCTGCAAGCAAAACATCCCTGTCGCCTAGCCTCTTCAACGAACGCAAAGAGAACAAGCCACATTTTGTTCTCAGATTTATTTCGTGTCCAACAAGGTTTGAAAATATTGTAATTTGTGACATTCCGAATCCGAATTTACGTTGACGAGCACACACAGCATTGCAGATATTATGTAGTATCACTGATAAACGGCTGCTTTTGAATTAATTGGGTGCCGGATTCAACAAGCTCCGCAGCATGCACTGAACCATTCTTTACCAACATTGCGAGAAATAACAACCCATACGTTCAGTTAACGTAAGCAGCGGAATAAAAACTCGAGCCCTCGGTTGATAATGGGATTTCGTGGTTTTTCAATTTCTTTGTCGCTAAAGTCATCGCAAAGTGTATCAAGATCAATCCAAAATTTGAATCGGTCTATCTGTTTCTCACCCTATATTAACCACAAATATTTCTCTCAGGGAATTTCAAGTGGCTCTGAGGGGCCAAATCCCGCGCTTAGTCCCCCAATCCCATTTTTAAAGTTAACCTCTGTGATATTTTTTGGAAACCATCAAACTCAGGTCGCCTCATCGGGAATCAAAGAATCAAACCTGGGCCATCCGGAGCACAGAGCCAGCGCTACAACCACTGCCTTCTCTGTAAGAGGCCGAAGCTATAACATTTGTTTTGGCAGAGTTTTGTTTGTACGAGGCGTTTAATTTTTACAATGCACCATGGATTGTAATGCACATACAAACTTCCTCAGACTGTGTTTCAGCTCAAGCGAGGACAGGCAAAAACTACACGGCAATTATACTTTTACGGACATTAACAAGCCGCGCTCTGCGCAGCGTAAGTGCGCCTTTGCGTGAAGCTGTTTGTTCCTTACAAGTAGTAACTGACCTGGTTTCAGCGTCTATGTTACAGAGTAATAATTAATTCAGCGTGAGTGGGGTTCCAGATCCCATCTTCCACCATAGTTTTACGAGATGTGGCATTAAAACTTTACAGCTCCCCATAGTTTTTATTCTCAAGCATATCTATTATCCTTCAGAATTATCTTTAATTTTTTCTCCGCTTTTTCGTCAGAAGCTAGTTTTTCCTCCAATTCTGGCATGGATGAAATCGTTTCCCTCCTCACTCTGAACATTAGGAACGTAACTACATACCAAGGTTGCAAAATTTACTCGAACAATTCAATTTTTTACAATAACATACCCGCGGAATTTTTGTCGAGAATTTTTCTGATTTTAATTTTTATGGTATCAGAAGAGGAGTCGGTAAAATTTTCAATTAGAAATTCCCAAAATTCCTCTCGTTAAAGTGCATTTTGCGTGGGGAAATTTAGCAACATTAAAATGAAGTCACGCTCTTTCGTGAGAAAAACGACGACTTGCGTTGCGTATCACGGCGAGGGCCGAATTTTTTACTGCTCTGTCTACAGTTTACCGTTTATAATCCGCAGGATTTAAATTTAAGTCAAGGTTGAAGAAGATCGTATCGAAAGTTCTTACACCGGAAAAAAAACACATTGGATCTGGAGTCCAGACTTCTGAAAACATTGACAAGAAAAAGGACTCTAGATTCGATCAGATTTAAGCTAAAATCAAAAGGATATCCGCTCAAATTAAGAGGCTTTGTTCTTGATTTAAGCTAGATTCTGGTTAAATCAAGAGTACTTTTTCTTGTCGATGTTTTTAAGAGTCTAGACTCTAGATCCAATGTGTTTTTTTTCCAGTGTTTCTTTCGTCGGCAGCTTTATGATGACCAGCTTTGATGAATTATGTGACGCCGAGTATATAATTAACAATTTGATTTTTTGTTTCAGGTGGATCTCAAACGCAGCAATATTTTCGGGTGCTCCCAAGGAACACGACGGTGCACGAGGGTGGGGAGGTGACCCTCGAATGCGCCGTCGGGAGTCTCGCCGGCAAAGTCCAGTGGGTCATGGACGGATTCCCTCTCGGTAAGTCACCTTTCTCGCTTGACCCCTACAAGATTTTTCCTAGTTGGCAACATTGCATTTCCTCCATTTAGAGAGCGTTGATAAATTTGTCGCTTGGCTGATATGAAGGCGTAACTACACATTGAGATGAGCCTGGAAAAGGATTGAATTGTATGGAGGACAGGGTTCATTGCCGAATGTACTTACGCCCTTATGTAAGGTAGGCGACGAATTTAATGCACTTTTTCGGCTTTTTTGACTCCACTTTTCCTCCTGTTAACGCATCGTAACGCGACCCAGACCTTCCTTTAAGATCCTAAAAATTTGGGGAAACTGTCGAATGTACCTATATGTCTGGATAGAATTTGAAGTTGATAGTGTGAAAAAACAACAATAAGCATCTTGGTATTAAACATTTTAGTAATATTATTTGCTCATACATAGATAGGGTATGAAAATGGAATTCAAGTAAATAATTAATGAAATGTAAAGCACCAAGATTCTTATTTTGATCATTTTAATATACGGTACTACTTAACCAAGAGAGTTTGAAAAAACAACGTTGGAAAAATTGTAAATTTTGGATCATATATTATGTGTTTATTACTACTATAAGTAGAGAGGGTTAAGTACGGTTGGCCTTGACCTCGCCCTCAAAGCGATACGTAATTAATTAAAGAACCCTTAAATCCATAACGGTAGAGCAATGTTGAGTCGACAATATGTTTCTCTCCTCCTTTCTCCTCTTTTCCTTTTATCTGATACTCCAAAAAAGTTTACTCTCACAATCAGTAAAATAAAATTTCATGAATATTCATAAAAAATGATCGCAAGTCTTAAGCATCGACGATGTATCATTTCATCTTTACACAAATCAGTTAATGATACTTAGCATGATTTTCTTCCGTTTCACGAAGATAATGATCTAGAAACTTTTCCGGAAACCCCGAAATATAAGTGGGAATTTTAAATACAGCTACTGAGATTCTTGTTATTCCGCCATTTAAATGCAAACAGATCTGGAAGCTTAAAGATCCGCCGACCTTTTGTCGTTGATTGGGAGGGAAAATCCGGTTAAATTATCTCTGTTCGCCGGGAAAATTCTCTAATTGGAGTTGTGATCCGAGGCTCCGAAGTCGGAAGCAGGGAATCAAAATTCACGAGGAAAAAGAGGAGTTAGTCATCCGGATTCCTTCGTGGCCGAAATAAATAGTCGGATCCTCCGGTCGCCGGTCGGCCAAATACTTCTGAGCCGGGAAAAACGGCGTAAGTCAACGGACTTACTCGAGGCGTTGCGCGGTTATGGCATGCTCCGGAGTATAAAACTTAATACCGTCTCATTAGTCGGCCGTAATGAGAAATTAAGTCAGGACTCGCCGCTGGAAGTCGACTTGATGGATGCTTAAAACAGCAGCTTACACGCTGAGGGGGATTTTTCGGCCCACTCCAAGGGTAAGCCAAGTTAGGTAAAAAACAGAAGAGCCCTCTTCTCTCGTCGGATGGCGATGAGGAATTCTTGATTTCGCTATTCTGCCGGATGACGGGAATACTAGGCCGCGGCACGATCTGGCAACCTCGCGCGGGCCCCCCGACGAATAATGAAACTGAACGCATAAGTCAAATATAATGAGAGGATGTTGAAAGATCGCTCTCTTTTGCTCGTACAATTTACAAACGTATCGTTGTAGTTTCTGTGAATTGAGTCGTTTGGCGTTGCAGCCGAAATCAAATCTCATCTAAACCGTGCTTGAAAGAAGGAGAGATATACCGGCATTGCAACTTTTCAGAATCTTAAGCATCGTTTTAAGCGTTCGGCCGATAGAGAGCGCTCGCGTTCAAATGGCGCACGAGCTCAACAAAAAGATGCACTGGAAAAAAAAGTCGCTTGGATCTAGAGTCCAGACTCTTAAAAACGTTGACAAGAAAAAATACTCTTGAATTAATCGGACTTTTTGCTTGAATCAAAGGGAAATCCGCCTAGATCAAGAGGCCTGGCTCTTCGAATCAAGGAAAAATCGGATTGAATCAAGACTATATTTTCTTGTCAGTGTTACTATGAGTCTGGACTCTGGATCCAAGCGTCTTTTTTCCAGTGTGGCAGAGAGGGACCTGAAACATTCAGAAATAACTTAATCTGTGATACCATTATTTAATGCTTTTAATGTCAAACCCAGGAGGATATATTTTGGCCATGTTAAATTATATTCGAATCGTTCTTTCAAGAGTCATCAATCGATCTTGAAGATCTAAGTTATTATGGTACGGTTTCAATTATTCACTTAGCAATAGATCTTGCCAGAAGTCCCCCAAGTGACGTTACAACTGAACACTAAAAAATGAATGAGTTGATCAGTGCTGCATCTTAAAAGTCAAACGGCTCCGCATTATAGAGACCAATTTTTCGGCACTCAACACCGTATCTGCGAGATGAGATCAGTCCTATGCATTACGAAGTTTTTAGCGGGAACCTCATCTGCTTCGTTTCATAAAGAGAAAATAAGGAACTGTAATAAACTTTGGTTTACTGAGCATACCTTGCTGCAGGTTCCAGCGCTCAATTTTCAGGTGTAGCTTTGCAGTTGTTGTAATGCGATGCAATTTTCAACCACGACTTTCATTTCTGTGTAAGTGTAGCTCTCTATTAGTGTTGGCATTTATCCGTTCAATAAAGAACTTCGCACGCGGAGGGAATAATACCCCGCCTTAGTTTTCATATCTTTGCTTCCTCGAGATTCGTCGACAAGACGTGAGGTTCATCCCTCTAAGAATGTCTCAGGTTCTTTCTTTTTACCGGAACGTTGTTAGTAATCATGGTTAAAGAAAAGAAACCGTTTGGGAGCCTTGAGAATACATGTGATAGAACTCATAAACACTCTCTCCCATCCCCCTCTTTGACTGCGACCGCAAGAATTGGGATACATTTTGCAATTGGGAACTACAATTTCTGGCTCATCCGTTAAAAAACTGATGTACATAGGGAAACTAATGGTACATACGTTGTTTCTAAACTGAACCGGAAATTGTAATTCTTGATTGCAAAATGTAGTCTAATTACTCCATTCTGAGATCTTAGAAGTGTCAATAAGCTGTAGAAGTACAGGAATACCGCAATATATAACCATTATTCAGTTTCATGCAGCCATTTAATTGTTGGAAAGTACTACAAATATTTCATATCCTCACTGAAATAGCTCCACCCGAAATAAAGTGATGAGATATGAACTCCGCGACTCAACTTAATGTTTTCATTTCTTTTTAAATTCCTCTTGATACTTTTCTCTCTTACGAGCGTATTTTTCCTGAAAAAATACGGTAAAAATTAGGGAAGAAAAAAAGATAAAGTTCTATTTTGTGCTGCAAGGCCATAATATTACCTAAAAGTGCAGACTTTTGGCCATAAAGTAGTCATGTTTTTATTTTCTGACTTATTCTTTAGGCATCCTTGACTTCGTTAATTTTGTGGCAATTAGAGGCAACAGAATACAGCATAAACATGTCCTTATCACCGTGGAGAAAAATGTGTTCCTCTCTTTACCTCTCTGGATAGTTTTTTCCTTTCTTCCAGCCAAAGGTTGCCAAGGGTGAAGTTTTCCGATGTTTTTCCTAGATAACTAGAATCGTGGTTGAAGACTTGTCCGGAAAATCTACCGGGCAGTCTATCCATCCAGAACTCGGCCAAAAAAAAAGAATCAATTCGCATTCAAAGTCGAAAATGCTCTTCAAAATTCTCCCATCACCGCGCTCCGATTTTATCGTTGCGAAAAAAGTTTGCGCAATAATTCAACGCCGTCGGACAGAGCAAATCGCGACTCGGGAATCAAATGAGAAAGTTGGGACTCACTTGCCAGCATCAATCTGTCGAAGTTCCCGGGAAGAATGACCGCGGACCACGCAAAAATGTTACGAATTCTCGCGAGAAACTTCGCCGCGTCGGGAAAATACGAACGAAAGAACGCCCAAGTCCCCGCGAGGCTCAATTTCGTCGGTTCTTGCTGCTCAAAATCCCTCCCTCCTCCCCCTCTCCGCCCAACTCCTCTCTCTCCAACCTCCCTTGTCCGAGGTATTTGTTGATCTCAAGTTCGACCGCAGACTGCCTTGTAGGTGCGGAGTCGGAAACTTCAAGAAAAATGAAAAAAAAGAGAAAAAAATGGGGGAAAACCGGAAAAGCTGGTGAGGCGGGTGGAATGCAGCCTTTGTAGGGACGATAGAGGAAAAAATCTGTTCCGGGCATCTTTGCAGGAGTTGTGTAACGCCTGTGGCAGTGGTGTGACGTCCTTCGCGATACATCGATTGATCTGCCATTTAAACCTATGGGAAGGGATCGATAAAGCAAAGCACTCCTTTTAACAATCGATCTTTTGCCATAGCTTCAAGTGGGGAATTATCGATGGTTGATAATTCATGCCTCGCCACTGTGGGAATATTTCCGTGAATATGTGGTTTCTTTCCAGTAAATACTCTTTTGTTATTGAAAATGTAGTTTGAAGTTATCAATCGAATGTTAAAATATTTTTTCTTCTAATTTTGCTGAGTTTCATCTTATCGGATCAATGGAAAGTTTAGTGAGGGCTTTTAACCAACAATTACAATATAAATTCGGATCGCAACGGGAAACCTGATCAGTTCTTCTGAGGTTTTTGAAACTTGGTTTCTGAAATGAATAAGAATTCATCATCAGTGAAATCTTAGCCTTCATATAGTAACCAAAGATACCACTACACGTTAGACAAACGGAAACTGAATCATCAATATGGAATTAGAGCACAGGAAACTACGCGCGTTGATGACGGCGCAGAGATGCAACTGTTCGTGTTTGATGGATGTCCGTGTTGCATCCGCAAAATTGAAGGCGCGCTGCCGCGAGGCGTGAACTCGCAACGCAATGGATATCGTGTGCCTGTACCAAAGATTTTGTTTCACAGACCTCGCCACAGGTATGCTCCACATTACCGTCAACTGCGATTATTTCGGTTGATATTTTCATAATCTACGGCTGAAAATTTCTCTGCATCCGCGAGCCA